GAGGTTTCGAGGTGTATTCCCGCGTGTGTCTTTGCTTGGCGCTCTGCCGGGTGCTTGGATAAGATCCTGCTCTTTTGGATTAGCAGTAGTGAAAACTGGATGGCAACTTGCTTTGAACGCACTCCTGTTAAACGAGGCAGTAACTTCAAGAGCTCTTAAGATGGGCATGAAGTTACTGCAGTTCTGGGTACGAATGTCTGCCGGCCGTGAGCTTCCCGGGAGGTGGAGCTTGATGTATATTGTGCTAAAAATCTCAGGGGCTGTATTTTAGCAGATGATTTTTTTTTTAACTTTATAATAACAGACTCGTATTTTAAATTTTAATTGTTTTTTTGTTCACTCTTACTTGCTCATGAAAGATGAGGGAGAACAGTGGAAATGATTCTGTGCAAAATGGTGTCAAATGCTCACAGTAAACAAATCGGAAGAAAGTTCTGTCCTTTTCTAAGCAGTGAGGTCTCGTGTGTTTCTTGTAACAAGAACTGATGAAATAGCCAGTGTATTTTAAAATAAACAGCATATCTTTAAGTATAAATGCTAGCAGCATTTTCTGGTTAGTTTCCATTGTAACTTCAGTTCCAGATGTTCACAATTTTCAACAACAAATTAAATTTTGTGTGGGTTTTTTTTTTTTTCTATTTGATCTCTGAAGACTTAAGAAAAGGGATGCAGAAAACTTGAACAGTTCCTGTAGCAGTTCCATGTTATGGGAGGGGAGAAGTATCTAGCTGTGTTTTTATATGAATAGAATTTTTTTTTTTTTTCTTTCCTTAACAGAGCTGAAGTTTGAGGATAGACAGCTTCTCACTGAGGAGCCGACCTCCCCCCTCCCCCCTTAGGTTCTGGGGAAAAAAGAGAGTGATTTAAAAAAATGTGTCTCTGAACACTTGCTGCAGCAACTAAGGCTCCGGTACTTCATGGAGTTCAGGGTAGGCAAATTCGTGCTGTGCAAGGATCCCTTTTAACATCTGTGTGCTGTATTGCATAGGTGAATAGGACCCACACGGAGCTTCTTGCAGGATCCGTGCTCTGTCTTCAGCAGACCTTAAAGATAACTTTAAATTCATAGTAGTAGGTGGCTTGTCGCTTTCTGGTTTGATTGTCGTGCTAATTGTTAGCAGCAATGTGGGGCATCCTTTTAACTGGAATATGAGATGATTTTTCCTCAGCGTACTTCCTGCATGGAAGCGCTATGATGAAGCACTTCATTTAATTGTGCTACTGCAGAGATGTCAAGCTTTGACATGGTATTGTTCCTGGGACAACTTGCTTGAAAAAATATTTTAAGCGTTGGTTGAAACTCGTGAGCACGTGCTCCCTGAAGTGGTATCCCCCTTCTGAAGCTACGTGATCTGAGCGCTCATTTTAAAAATAGAAAAATAAAAAAATAAAAAAAAAGAGGTGAGGGGTGGGAAATGTCAGCATACGAAAAAGCTTTCAGCTGACAAAACCATGCACTGTAATTTGCAGGGCGTTACTAAATGGTATGGATGGTCGAGCATCCATACCCGTGCAACATTGTGCCACAAATGACAAAGATTTGTGCTGTTGCCACCTTCAGGCCATGATCCAAACCCTTTTTGTGTGTTTTCCTGTTTGATGAATGAGACTATTTGGTTCCTTTGTGAAAAGAGCTTTCGTGACCAGTCTTTTGGGCAGGAGATGAAGGGGGTCTGTTCTGACCAGAGTTCCCTGTGCTCCGTGATCCTGTGGTTGCTCTAGTGATAGACGTTTCTCCTGTGTAAAGGAGTTCAGGTAGCCCGGTGAAAAACCCTGAAATAGAAGAACTTAGTCCTGGAAGAACTCCTGTCTTATCCAGACTAACTAACCCACTGCCTGTCTGCCCAGTGTGTATGTGCATGTATATGTATGCTCTAACCTTCTGAAAGATTAGAAAAATTATGTAATTCTCTCTATATAAAATAAAGTTTTCGGTTTAACTGTATTTATAGAATGTTTCTGCCCCCCCCC